AGAATTAGGTTTGCATCTTCTCTTTTTTCTTATTGAGTTAAGCTTATTTCCCATGATAAAAAAATTTTTTTAAAACTCCCTAGTTGTAAGGATGTTTATAAAAGCCATGGATATTTCTTTTTCTAGTTCGCTTTTCCCTTGGTTCCGTAGTATCCAGCACCAAATTTATAAAATTGAATTGGGAGTTTGTTTGCTTTTTTAATCTAAGAAAACATTGATCCACTTTAAGATGATTAAGCCACACAACTGTATACAGTTTATCAGGTTTATAAAAAAAAAAATATATATATATATATATATAGACATCTTTTGCCTGGGCACATAAAGAAATCACTTTTTCATGAAATGCAACTATTAAAAAGCTTCATTTAAAACATTTATTAGACTAAATGTCTATCGTTATTAGTTGCTTTCGTCTGATATTACTGACATTAAATAATCTGTTCTAGTAAATTAAAATTTTAATGATTTTCCTCTTTATTATCGCATCTTATATTAATCTTTTTTTTAAATACCACTGACAATTACTTAAGTATCTAGAATTACTAGTAGTTAATGTCTCCAAAATTGAACATAAAACTAGCAAAAATGCTCTGCAGACATTTAACTTCTCCTTCATTGTGTCATCATCTGGTCAAATGGCCAATACAAAATACATTAATTTAAATATAAAGCCAAATTTTTAAAGATGTCTAAAAATGAAGAATCGGAAATAAGTCAAAAGATTATACTTGTCCACTTATAAAATACTTGCAAATAGAATAAAAATAGAAACTATCTGGACTAGCTCCCCAAAGCTACAAATTCTCCAAAACCAGAGACCTGGTATTATCAATAGTATTTACAGAATAGCTAACACACACACACACACACACACACACACAGTAAAACTAGTGTTAAAACAATTTTATATTTACAAAATCAATCAATAAAAAATAAATTGAGACAAGTAAATATTTTACAAGAAAAAAATCAATACTGAGTTATCCAAAAACAAATCCTAAAGTTTAGGCATTAGACATTTCCTCAAATGGGTCAAAACTGGCTTACCAAGAAGTTTAGCAATAACAACAACAACAAAAAAAACCAGTTATCTAGTATTTTTCACACCTATAAGGCAATTAAAATGTTTTTAGTGATAATCATAGGGTTTTACAGCATCCTAACGTGACTTCAAATGATTTTTTTAAATTCTAAATATATTCAGATCTTTAACTCTATTCTTTTGAACAGGCCATCCACAAACCACATATTAAAAATGATGATGTAAAATATGATGATACATTCCTGAATTTATTGGCCTGAAAAAATGTTCAGCACAAATGACAAATAAGCTAAAAATATTTAGAATATAATATCATTTTTATTTGTTCTCTAACCCTACATAAAATTAGGCCATGGGTGGTAAACATGTGAATAATTTTATCTTTGCCAAGTTCATATTATTATTGAAAGTTTTTATACACCCCACACCCAGATTCCCCTATTATTAACATCTTACATTCATGTGGTACAAATAACCCACTAAAAATGGACAATAGATCTGAAGAGATATTTGTCCAACAATATACAAATGATCAATAAGCATATGAAATGATATTCAAAATCATCAGTTACTAAAGAGATGCAAACCAAAACCACAATGAGATACTATTATATACCCAACTAGAGTGCCCATAATAAAAAGGACAAATAACAAGTGTTGGTGAGGATCTGGAGAAATTGGAACTTTCATACGTTGCTGAGAGGAATATAAAATGGTGCCACCACTGTGCAAAATAGTCTGACAGTTCCTCAAAAAGTTAAACAAAGAGTCTCCAATGTGATGCAATAATTCCACCTGTAGGTGTATACACAAGAGAACAAAAAACATGTCCACACAAAAACTTGTATACAAATGTTCATAGAGGGATTATTCATAATAGCCAAAAGGTGGAAACACAAATGTCCATCAACTGATGAATGGGCAAACAAAATGTGGCATACAATACAATGAAATCTTATTCAGTAATAAAAAGGAATGAAATACTGATACATGATACAGTATAGATGAATCCCAAAATCATCACACTAAGTGAAAAAAGTCAAACACAAAAGACCACATATTGCAGGATTCCATTAATATGAAATATCCAGAACAGGCAAATCTATAAAGGCAGAAAGTAGGTTAATGGTTGCGTAGGGCTGAGAGAGAGGGGAATAAGAGAGTCATGGCTAATGGATATGGAACTTCTTATTGAGGCGATGCGAACATTCTAAAATTGATTGTGGTGATGGTTGCACAACTCTGTGAATGTACTAAAGACCAATGAATTGCACACTATAAATAAGAAAACAAGTAAATATCTCTAAGTTTTTTTTAAATGTCATCAGTATAAGAAACTTAACCTCCAGGCATCCATCTGCACCCCAAGTAGCCAAACAATACCCCTCCCTAACCATTACACAAACAGGAGGTTTATTATGTGGGGAATGGGAATCTGAACCCAAGTCTGGATATAGGGAATACACAGAGAGGGGGCAGAGAGAGGGGTACACAAGACTGAAATCAGGGGAAAGTCTGCATACTGAACAGTATGACACCCAGATTCTTCCGCCATGTTCTTCCGTTTTATAACCACCAAAAAGGAAACTAGCAGGCAACTCTTTGCAGAAACTAAATAAACACAGAGAAAAGACCTACACAGATTGTAACATTTTAAAATTTCCCAGTGAATTATTCGGCACATTCCTATCATCCTACAGTTAGGCTTCCCTAAGACTAATACCCACAAATTCAACTACCTACTCAATAGCTCCACCTGTATGTCAAACAGGCACGTCAAATATAACAATTAAAACAAAACATTCCTGATCTCTCCAAATCTACTCCACTTGAATTCTTTGCCAGTTGAGTATATGGCAAAGCCATTCATTGTATGCTCAGAGATACAGAGACATAGAAATAGAGATATATTTACCTTTTGCTGTAAATATTTTTCTTATTTGGTTATTCGTCTTTTTGTTTTATTTAAAATAGGGTTTCACTTACAATGACTTTAATTTTTCGTAGTCAAAGCTATAAATCTATTCCTTTGTAATTTTATTTACTGCTTTTATGATCAGTAGTAAATCACACTATACTCAGAGAACAAAAAAAAATTAATCTAAATTTTCTTCTTAGTTCATCATTTTTAATATTTCACTCTTTTTAATCCAACTGGAATTTATTTTAGAATATAATGTAAGATACAAATCAAATTTTATTTTGTCCCAAACAGTTAATCCAATTATTTCAATACAATTCACTGAATAACCTTTCCTATCCTCACTGATTTAAAATTATATACTAAATTTTTATAAATATTTTGTAAGTCTACTACTAGTCTTTCAATTCTGTTCCACTGAAAGTCTGGCCTTAGAGTTATTATACTTTTTGGTCACCCAACAATCTTTTTCCCTTCTTTGGTACCAGCATCCTGATTTTATGAGAAACTCTTTTGGGAGCTTTAATTTAGTAGAATGGAAAATGATTTATTTGGGGAAAATTACTTCTTTCAATCAAATGTTCTCTTCCTGGGATTTGAATCCTGAATAAAGCTACGAAAAGAATGAAAATTATTGATAACAATTCATCCCAACTTCATCCATCATTTCCACTCCCAAGACCCCTAGAGATGCTCTGGGATTCACATGCTTTCAGAGTCTGATTCCTCAGCATTCCTTCTGATTCTGTGAATAGGATTTCCATATTCTTCCACTGAATTCCCTTTTTAAGTTAACCAAAGTTGGTTTCTGTTGCATACAACCAAAAACCACAAATGATACATTACTGACGATTTACAGTACATATTCACTTCTAGTATAAGACCCCATTCATAATTCTTATAAAAATTTTCATATTCTCATTGGGCTCTTCAGGTTTTCCACATGAATTTTAGAATCTGTCTTTCCAAAATAATTCCATTGAATTTTTTACTGGAACTGCTTTAACCCATATAATTCATAATGTAATCTAGGGAGGATTCACGTTTTTACAATGTTAAGTGTTCCCAAAATGTCTCACCATCTTCTTTTAAGACTCTCAGTTAAATTTCATAATTTTTTATGTATTTGTTGTTAATGGTATTTCTATTTTTATCACTGTGGTGGAAACTTTTTAAATATTTTATTCTCTTATTGTTGCCGGTATGTAAGATTGTAAATATAATTGTTATATATTATTTTCTTCCTGGACTCCTATTACTAGTGTCAATAATTTCAAAGTTGATTTTCTTGATTATACAGGGTTATAAGCATATCATCTGAAAATAATAAGAATCATATTTCTTTCTTTCCAAAAATTATAATTCTTATTGCTGCTCTGGCCTTTATTTATTTCTTTGGCTAAAATTCCCAAAACAATGTTAAATGATAGCAGTGAGTTTAACAAGAGTACTTCTCGCATTTTATCATTAAATATTTTTTATAAATGTTTATTTACCTAATAACAATTATAAGTTATATGTAAGACGAACTTATTTATCTAATATTTCATTTCCCACAAAGCAAAAGGAAATTTTTAAAGGAAGAATTAAGTAAATTTCATTTCTCTCAAGATTAGAATATTATACACTCATAAAATCATATTTTTCATTTGTAAACTGATGCTCCTTTCCCATCTCCTCTTACCTTTAAAGCATTCCACAAAATCATGCAGCTAGTATATGATTCAAATTACCAAATTAGAATGTAATATTATATATACAAAATCTTTTCCTGTACTGCTTCCTCAACATTAGAGTGTAAACAATCACCCTCAAACTTTCCAAATATTCCATGAGAATTGTTAAAAATTGATTTTTAAAATTAGGGGCAAAATATAATTTACTCAGATACAAAAGTTTTCAAAGGAGCCAAATATTCAATATAAATAAATGTCAAAAATTAGTTTTATTTTTTATTGCATGACAAAACTTTCTCTGACCTTAAATTATTGACTGGTTAACATACATAAGTTATAAAAGAATGAGAAAATGTACCTCAAATTCTTTTCTAAGATGTTCCTCTCGCTGAGTGCTAAATTCAAGTTCACTTGTTTGTCTCCGTAAAAGGTCAGAGCACTCCATGTGTTCAGCTTCTAATTTTTCTACTTTCTTGTGCATATTTTGTACAGCACTGTCTTGCTCCTGGAAAATAATTCATTTTTGCATCAATAAAGTTTGTAAGCCAACAATGACTAAAATTTATTCTATAGGAGACAGTAGATAAATAAATCTGTGCTTCAACCAAAATAATAGGTTAATTTATATAGGGAAGAGAGACTTAGAAATTTTCCAGCAATGTTTCAGAATATACATGTATTTAAGAGGCACTACTAGATGGCCGGCCAAGTGGCTTGTTGGTTAAGAGTTGGCTTGGGAGCGCAAGCTCTGAGCAGCAGGGCTGCCGGTTCGGATCCCACATGGGCAAGTGGTGCTGCACCCTCTGCAGATGGGATTGTGAACAACAGCTCGACCTGGAGCTGGGCTGCCGTGAGTCGCCAGCAATGGCATAGGCTGCAGTGGGCTGCAATGGGCTGCAGTAAGCTACTGTGAGTGGCCAGCAGCCAGCGTGAGCAGCCGTGAGCCACCGCGAGCAGCTGTCCAAGGTCTGGCAACCGATCTGCCTCAGCCGGGAAGAACGCAATGATCACAATACCAACATGGGCCGGTGAAGCGACGTCCTCCACAGCTAGACTGAGGAACAAAAGGACAGTGGCTTGTGTGTTCCCCTTCCCTGATTCCCCAACGCTGTTCCCTCCCCCAATTCCCCAATAAAATAAAATAAATCTAGCAGTAGTTTAATAAGCAAAAAAGATTTGGTTTAAAAAAAAAAAAAAGACGTACTACTAGAGTTTTACAATTTAAAAAATCTGATTAATATATATTACAATTCAAATGTGCACAGCTTACTTACCATAATGTTATGCTAGTTCATTGACCTCTGAGGGTATTTACGTAATACTATAGTTCAACTGCCATATATAATGTTTTCCCCTCTCATGAAAGTTTTAAAGTATTTAGTAATACAAAATATATATTGCTCCTTTGTGTGATAAGGGGTGGTTGGCTTGAATGCCTAATAATGACCCTTGAGCGATTTTTATGTGAGCTCATGATAATTTAACTATGCTTATAGCTCTCAAAGTTGCATCCACTAGATGGCTGTGTTTCATTTTCTCTTCAGTTTTTAAGTCTTGAAATCTTTTCTGTACTATTGAAAGAAAAAATAATATCAAGTAGTGTTCTACTTAAATCTCTCAATCTCCTTTTCCAACTAAACTCAGAAATCAGAGTTGAATTTATGAAAGTTCAAACATAAAGTTAATGCACATATCAAAGGTATTTTCCCCATTAAATAACCTATATTCATCACTCTAACTTAAGATCTTTGACAAAGCCCTCTTTCCCACTTTTGCCTCATCAGCACAATCTTTTTTCTGGAACACATATATTTATACAAGTATCCCTAGCCATTCAATAGGTATCATTGGAATCTGAGTGAGAAATGTTCTAAGCACCAAATATAATTCCCTATAAAAAGATTCCAGTTTGGAAAGTACCCAGCAAGTATAGTCCACAATCAAAGGATGAAGAACAAAATTTAATTCCTCTCTCCACACTCCCTCATTCACAAGATTACCAATATTCTACAGCTGACTACATGTGCACTCATAAGAATTATTTTCTTCAGGTAAGAAACTTCTTAATATACAGAAGCTCATCTACTTAACACATTTTCATTCTGCAAACAATCACAGATAAAAGCAAAGCTGGATAGTAGAGCAAAAGTGCGCCAACATTGCCTACAGCCAGCAGATAG